AAAACACCCCCAAACCCTAATGGATTGCTTTGAGGATATGCTGTTGAGCTGTTAGTAGATACACCTGGATGGAGACAGAAGCAGCCTGGAAAGTAATAAAGCAATTCCCTCCTCAGGCGAAATCTCAGGTGTCTTCAGTTTTAGATAACATCTAAAGAATGCACTTTTTTTTTGTGGGTGGAAAAAAAGGCACATATTTTGAAACCATGTCTAGAATTCTAATTATTCTCCCTCTCCTCCCCCTTCCCAAGGCTCTGTCAATTCTGATGCTAAGATTGCCTGCCAAAAATCAATGTCAGTTTATGCTAGATCTTCCTCAGTACTGATGAGAAATGAACATGTTCTTTCTCTGAAGCCGTCTTTGGCTTTCTTCATCTCCTCATATGGGTACCCAAAGGGATGAAAAACAAAATGCAGAGTATGTTTTCACACACATTTTCTTCATTTATTTTTTTTAAAGGCATCAATATGAAATTAATTCATGGGGTTCCCATAAGTTGATAAACTACTTGAAGGCACTTTGCTCCAAAACACACTGCAGAAATAATCCAGTTTGAGACTGCTTTAACTGCCCTGGCTCAGTGCTAGGGAATCGTGGGAATTGTAACTTGTTGTGCACCAGAGCTCTCTGACAGAGAAGGCTAAATGTTTCACAAAACTACAATTCCCAGAATTCCATAGCACTGAGCCAGGGCAGTTAAAGCAGTCTCAAACTGGATTATTTCTGCAGCATGTTTTGGACCTGTGTTACCTTTTAGGATAAAATTTAAATGAGGGAGGCAATCTTCAGTCAATTGGGTAGCGGTGGTTGTTTTGCGCCTTCAAATCATTTCCAAATTATGGCAGTGGTGGTGTAGTGGTTCAAGTGTTGGACTATGACTCTAGAGACCAGGGTTCGAATCCCCACTCGGTCATGGAAACCTTGGGCAAGTCACACTCTCTCAGCCGCCTCAGAGGAAGGCAATGGCAAACCTCTTTTGGACAAATCTTGCCAAGAAAACACCATGATAGATTTGCTTTAGGTTTGCCATATGTCAAAAACATCTCAAATGAACACAACAACAACAACAAGGCAAAATTATCATGGGGTTTCCTTGGCAAGATTTGTTCACTATGGGTTTGCTATTGCCTTCTTCTCAGGATGAGAGAGTGCCCAAGGCCAACCAATAGGTTCCAATGGCTGAACTGGGATTCGAACCCTGGTCACCAGAGTCCTAGTCCAACACAAACCACAGCAACATATTGGCTCTCCAGCTGGACAGTAAAACAGATTAAATGTTTAATGCTATGCACACTGACTTGGTTCTCAAAGGAGAAGTCCGGAGTACATAATATACCTATACCGTCACATCACAAGAAAAGCATTTGCTGGTTTCTGTAACATTTTCCCCTTATGCCAATCATCTGATGGACTGACCAGCTAAAATGAAAACAGTTAATTATTCAAAATGTCTTTAATCAGGTTGCCACCCGAAGCTGAAATGTGTTCAATTACTTATGAAGTCTACATACCAGTAGTTCTCCATCTTTTTGGGTCATGGACCCCTCTGAGAATCCAATCAAAGCTATAGACCCATCCCCAGGAAAAGGCATATAAAGATATACCGTACATGATATTTTATGTTTATTTTATTGCACAGACTAGTTCGTAAAGGGGGGAAAATATGGAATGAATACTTAAAGATTTAAATGTTTACCTTAACATTCACTGTGAGAAGATAAATTCAAAGCAATGGGAAGGAAATCAAAGGGGAAATCACTTTCTGTGCCTGGTTTATGGACACCCCAAAGGAAATCCTGCACTGGATTGGGCTGTAAGGGATTAAAAATAGATGATTAATCAACCGGCAATGCAACTAGCGTTATCATCTCTAAAATAAACCGTTTAGGGTTGTCAGATTTAAAACAGCGGAGGGATCCTGTAACCCTAATTGTTATGCAGAAGCGGGAATTTCAGCAAGCATTGCTTGTCACACAACCAGCAGCAGCTACTGGGAAAAAGCAAAATTTAGGGCATTTGCAGACTGCCAGAAATAGTGCAAATTGAGTCCACTTTAACTGCCCTGACTCAGTGCTAGGGAATCATGGGAACTGTAGTTTATTGTGGCACCAGAGCTCTCTGACAGAGAAGGCTCAATGTCTCAGAAAAAAAAATACAATTCCCATGATTCCCTAGCACTGAGCCAGGGCAGTTCAAGTGGACTCAATTTGCACTATTTTTGGCAGTCTGCAAAGGCCCACAGATTTTAAATTTGGGCTGCATCTGCTTTGCAGAATTAATGCAGTTTGACGCTGCTTTAACTGCCATGGCTCAACGCTATGGAAATCCGGGATTTGTAGTTTTGTAAGGACTTTAAGCCTTCTCTGTCAGAGAGCGCTGGTGCCACAACAAACTACAAATTCCAGGATTCCATAGCGTTGAGGCATGGCAGTTAAAGTGAAGTCAAGAGGCATTATTTCCGCAGTGCAAATGCAGCCTTAGGTCCAAAACATACTGCAAAAATAATCCAATTTGAGGCTGCTTTAACTACCTTGGAACAACGGTATAGAATTCTGGAAATTGTGGTTTTGAAGAGATCTTTACAAACTCAAATTCTAAAAAACAAGGTGGAAATTGCAATAAGAGAAATAGAGAAAAACAAATCACCAGGAACAGATGATATTCCAATTGAACTGCTGCAATCCACACTGACAGAGTCAACTCTAGTGCTAACTAACATATGTCAATAGATATGGAAAACAAAACAATGGCCAACAGATTGGAAGTGATCAATATACATCCCCATCCACAGAAAGGGAGACTGCAGCAACTATAGGACCATAGCACTGATCTCCCATGCAAGCAAAATCATGCTCAAAATTCTGCAACATAAACTCCAAAAGTGGCCTCAAGTTGGATTATTTCTGGCAGTCTGTTCAGGCCCTAAGACTCTGGAGTCCAGGGTTCGAATCCCAGTTGGCCATGGCCTACGTTACCTATTAGGATAACATGCAAATAAATTTAAACGAGGGATGCGATCTTCAGTCAGTTGGGTAGCAGTGGTTCTTGTGTGCCTTCAAGTCATTTCCAAATTATGGCTAAATCAGAGAGCCAGTGTGGCATAGTGATATGAGCGTTGGACTCTGAAGACCAAGGTTCGAATCCCCGCTCGGCCATGGAAACCCACTGGGTGACCCTGGGCGAGTCACACTCTCTCAGCCTCCTCAGGGGAACAAGAAGAAGGCAGCAAAGGCAAACCTCCTCTGAAGAAATCTTGCCAAGGAAACCCCATGACAGGCTCGGCTTAGGGTTGCCCTAAGCCATATGCCGTTGTTTTCCCCTGAGGCTGAGACAGTGTGACTTACCCAAGGTCACCCAGGGACCCTGGTCTCCAGAGTCCAACACTCAAATAACTCCTCCAGGCTGGCTTTTATGTTATTATACATATTTATCATCATCATCATCATTATAATATTTGTTACTAACATAACAACAACAATTGTAATAAATTAAGTCCTCAGTGTGGCATCATCAGCCTTTCCCACTTGCCCCGCCCCCTTAACTGG